AAAAGCCTTTTTGCAAGGAGGATAAATATGTTGGAATTGGGTGCAATTTGTGTTCTTTGAGTTTTAAATATTTAGTTTAATTTATTATTTAAGTTGCTAAGCTTGTGGAGCTCGGTTTTGCAAGAGAGGCAGTAATACAAGCACTTCGATTATTTGATGGCAACGAAGAGCAGGCTGCGGGATTTCTCTTTGGAGGCCGAAGAAAAAGAAAACTTGCATATTTACATTCTCTCAGACTGTTCTTAGGTTTGTTGAACAGACCCTGCAAACTGAAAATTTTGTATTACATGTCTGAAAACCATTTTGATTCAAACTATTTATAGGTCATAGTCACTGACATGGCCTTGCAATTCAAACAACAGCTCCTTAATTTGCTAAGCTTTGATGTAATATTTTCCATTTGACAGAACGATATATTTGACAGTGGAAATGAGTGCTGTGGATTTGATTTGTCATTTGCCTAATAACAATATAATTTTTACCTGGAACTTAGAAGGAAACTAAGACCCCATTTCCATCTAAATCTCTGCATTAGTTTTGAGTCATAACATTGAAGGTACCATTTTGTGACTCTGACACATGACACCCGCCCTTGGTACTTGGAAGAGGAAGTTCCCTTACTACTACAAGGTTGTGTTTGGATTCTTTGGAATTGGTATCAAGTGCTGTTGCTGTAGTTTTTTAATATTTTATTATAAGAAAAATTATATTATTATTTAATAATTGTCTTAAAAAAAGTCTTATACATTAATAAAACTATTAAATTATACAAAACATTAATTAAAATTAATTTTAACAATGTAAATTAACACTTTTGCCAGAAAGCAACTCCACATACAACTTAAGACTTTGGTCTTGGGAGGGTGAACATTGAGGTCCCTTCAACCTAAATTTTTCCATGGATCTACCACAGGCTGCTATGAATGATACAGAGCGTTCACAACTTAGCAAAAGATTAACCGTTCCTGTGCATTAACATTATGGAATTCCAAATACATTCCTTGATCAAATCCAATTAAATGAGAATACAAACACAACTGTGGGCACGATGTTTGGACTTTCATAGTGAGCTGTTTACAAATTACGTGCAGTTTAATATCGAAACTGACTCAGCCTTCCAATAAGTTTTTGACGCCAAATAACGCTGTAAACCCACGAAGCATAGCAAATTTGGCAAGTCTAACACTTTTATTAAGAAAATTAAAAGTTCAAATCCTTACATAGATCATGAAAGTTTCGAGCCCCCATCAATATGTCTTACCTCTACTTGCGCCTTATAACTATAGGACTCATAACTTTATGTTTCCCGTCGGAGTCAGACCAAACCAACTGTCCAAACACAAAATCTCTAGACTCTACTTTACTCATAGGGTGGAATGTGACTACGAATTTCTTCTCTTCACCCATTTTTTTGAATGTCAATGTCTCCGGTTTAAC